GCTATTACGGTGGGAATTTTGTGACAAATTTACTAACAAAGTGAACAAAATTGTCAATTCGTGTGCAGCATACCGAACTTATTTACTTCCGACCCGACCGACAAACAAAAGTGTGGAAAATCGTACAACGTACACCACTCTGTTCACTTCCTGCTTAATTCATTGAATTTTTATTCGAAATCAGCGTAAATCAAATGACTTGAATCGAATCTAAGAATTTTTAACGCCAAATTTCCCCCCGCTTGGCTTTTTTTTCTTTTCATTTACGTGTTCATTCCTCCGTCTTACGAAGTCCATCGCCACTCATGCATTTCCATCTCGTTCAAAGATCTTTTCTCATTCTAATTTTTCTTCTTTTTTCATTCTCACTTTCAAATTTTTTTTTTAAAAAAAATTATCTCAATAATTCCCAATTTTTATTTCATTTGGAAGATGTCGAAAGAAGTGAACAGCTGCTGCCATTAACTCTAACCAGTATATTTGATTATTCTGATGACTCTCTTTTCTCTCAACGTAAAAATTTGTACATCATCTTATTGTATAAATATAGAAGAAGCATTTCACGTTCACTTATGAGTGTGTTAATTATTAGAAAAAATAACAACAGAAAGAAAAATGTGTGATATATTGATAATAAATGGTTCACATTTTGTGTTTCGATGGTCGTTCGGAAATGATGTTCAATTTTTTAAAAACAAGCTTGGGAGAATCTAAAGCTGTTTAATACTTTTATATAGGAAAATTTTCAGGGGGATCCAAAATCTAAGAATTCTAAGTTTGACATGATTCATAAACGACCACATGGGTGAAAAAGTTATTACAAAGGAGAGTCGAGGTCTTTTTAGCTATGAAAATATGTCACACACACTTATCGCATTAAATATAAATTTTATATTTATCTGTACACCGGCATTTTTAGCTGAGCTTATAATAGAATTTAAATCGATATGAAAATTTTCCTTTTTGCCTATAAAATGTTCATTTCCATCAAGAAGCTGGTATTGAAAAGTTGTTAAAGTATATTAAGTGCTCTATCGATAGAACAAACGATTGTCAATAGAACAATTTTTCAACAATATTCAATATTATAAGAGGAGTGTCGAGATATTGAGAGCGATTTCTTTTCAATTTTAGCCCATTTTTTATTGAATTAAGGCATTTAATAATCTATTCACATCGAACAGCTTGGCTCGGATCATTGAGCACAAATTGTAAGATTATTAAACTTTATTAAAATTGTCAGAAGCTCTCGACAGCGATTGAAGTGAATTTTTCAAACTGTTGTAATGATCTTACTTTTTTAATCAGTAAATTTTGAATTCTTGAAATTCTTTAAAATCAGGAAATTTTGAATTTTTAAATTTCTTTAAAATGAGTAAATTTTGAATTCTTGAAATTCTTTAAAATCAGGAAATTTTGAATTTTTGAAATTCTTTAAAATCAGTAAATTTTAAATTCTTTGAAATCAGTAAATTTTGAATTTTTGAAATTCTTTAAAATCAGGAAATTTTGCATTCTTGAATTTCTTTAAAATCAGTAAATTTTGAATTCTTGAAATTCTTTAAAATCAGGAAATTTTGAATTTTTGAATTTCTTTAAAATCAGTGAATTTTAAATTCTTTGAAATCAGTAAATTTTGAATTCTTGAAATTCTTTAAAATCAGTAAATTTTGAATTTTTGAATTTCTTTAAAATCAGGAAATTTTGAATTTTTGAAATTCTTTAAAATCAGTAAATTTTGAATTTTGAAATTCTTTAAAATCAGGAAATTTTGAATTTTTGAATTTCTTTAAAATCAGTAAATTTTAAATTCTTGAAATTCTTTAAAATCAGTAAATTTTGAATTTTTGAAATTCTTTAAAGTCAGGAAATTTTGAATTTTTGAATTTCTTTAAAATCAATAAATTTTTGAATTTTTGAATTTCTTTAAAATCAGTAAATTTTAAATTCTTGAAATTCTTTGAAATCAGTAAATTTTGAATTTTTGAAATTCTTTAAAATCAGTAAATTATGAATTTTTGAAATTCTTTAAAATCAGTAAATTTTGAATTTTGAAATTCTTTAAAATCAGGAAATTTTGAATTTTTGAATTTCTTTAAAATCAGTAAATTTTGAATTTTTGAAATTCTTTAAAATCAGGAAATTTTGAATTTTTGAAATTCTATAAAATCAATGAATTTTAAATTCTTGAAATTCTTTAAAATCAGTAAATTTTGAATTTTTGAAATTCTTTAAAATCAGGAAATTTTGAATTCTTGAAATTCTTCAAAATCAGTAAATTTTGAATTTTTGAAATACTATAAAATCAGTAAATTTTGAATATCTTTAAAATCAGTAAATTTTGAATTTTTGAAATTCTTTACAATCAGGAAATTTTGAATTTTTGAATTTCTTTAAAATCAGGAAATTTTGAATTATTGAATTTCTTTAAAATCAGTAAATGTTAAATTTTTGAAATTCTTTAAAATCAGGAAGTTTTGAATTTTTGAAATTTTTTAAAATCAATAAATTTTAAATTCTTGAAATTCTTTAAAATCAGGAAATTTTGAATTATTGAATTTCTTTAAAATCAGTAAATTTTAAATTTTTGAAATTCTTTAAAACCAGGAAATTTTGAATATCTTTAAAATCAGGAAATTTTGAATTTTTGAAATTCTTTACAATCAAGAAATTTTGAATTTTTGAAATTCTTTAAAATCAGGAAATTTTGAATATCTTTAAAATCAGTAAATTTTGAATTTTTGAAATTCTTTAAATTTAGTAAATTTTAAATTCTTGAAATCCTTTAAAATCAGTAAATTTTGAATTTTTGAAATTCTTTAAAATCAGGAAATTTTGAATATCTTTAAAATCAGTAAATTTTGAATTTTTGAAATTCTTTAAATTTAGTAAATTTTAAATTCTTGAAATCCTTTAAAATCAGTAAATTTTGAATTTTTGAAATTCTTTAAAATCAGGAAATTTTGAATATCTTTAATTTCTGTTCATCAAAAATTGAAATTTTCAACAATCGTTTATGATTTCAAATTTTTACTACCGTTATGAATTTATTTTTAGAAAATTAATTGAAGACCTTCAAAAACATTTTTTTGAGGTCAATTGAATATTGACCCACCGTAATGGAATTTTAAGTCATTTCTCCTTCACTAGCTTATGAAATAATTGAAGCGTGTTTAGCAAATCATCATAGATAACAAATAAATCCATTACGAAAAGTTTTGAAATAAGAACTAGCCAACTTTCGAACAAAAGAGAAGCTTCCATAATTAAATTTCTTATCACAGTCGCTTATCGTAAATGCGTTTAAGAAATCGATATCGATAGAAAAAAAAAAGTCAAAATCAGATGCTGATTTCTATTTGCTGATTTGATTTTCCCATTCATTAATTTGTGTACTTTGCTGTTTAATCAAAAAGTACGAAAGCTGTTGAAAGAGATTTACGATATTTCTTTCTAAAATAACAGCATAAGTAGCCTCTCCTAATCCCATTAACTCCATTAATTATAAAGAAATCATTTTTCTCTCTCTCGTACGCCGTCTCTCATTCTCCTCGCCATGACACCATCATGTCATGTGCTTCACTTAATTTTTACACATTTTCATTTCTCTCTAACTTATTTATTTTTTTTTCATCTCTCCTTTTTGATTATCGTAGGTTCAATTAGTCAGCATCATAACTTTTTCCTCCAATCTTAATCTTTTTGGACTTTAATTTCCATCTGACATTACCATCAACCCTCAGTAAATATATAGAGTAAAGCGGACCTCACCAAATGAAAGAAAAAAATTATAACAAGAAAAGGAAATTGAATAAAGAAGAGCTTAAAACAACGAAAATATAAGAAAAGGGCTAAAATCGTTGAAAACAAAACAAAAAGAAGAAAAAAATTCGGTTTCTATAGTGAATAAACATAGAAATACGCTAACAACGCACATGTTTTATGGTAGAAATGCATAAGAAATCCATTTCTTTTGTGAGGACATAAAGTGTTCAAGTATAAGAAAGAAAAGTCGCAAAAAAAACCAAGATTCGCGTGTTGGAATTGCAAATTATACCTCGAGACTTCTAGTCGATTTGCTTTTATAGTTTAATATTGTTTATTTTATTTTTGCCATATTGAAGAAAAAAAAATCAAAAAAAGCAAGCACAAAAGTTATTAAAGAATTAAGAAAAGAAAAATCCCAGTGAGCACAAATAAAGCATAAAGTCAGTGTGAAAGGTGATAAAAATAAAACAGAAAGTGACAAAATAAAAATAAAAAAAGAAAAGAGAAAATGCAGCAACAGCATTGAAAGTTGATCACAATTCTACATTATCCATTTAACGAAACAGTGAAGCACAACTATGGAAAAAATAAAGTCTATGAAATAAATATTGCAACGTAATCTACATCGACACAAATTGTGATATATATAACATTACACTTAAAAAAAAGCATAAGGAAAGTTAATACACACAGTGAGAAATATGTGAAAAATCATCTGTTCTTTTAAATCATTATTACATGGAAAATTAATTAATCATATATACAAAAAAAAAATCTATCATTATCAACGTCAAATGCATACACCGAATTACATAGCTTCTACTCTTTTAGTGACTTATACGGAATATAATAATATAAAACATTAATATAGTGTTACATGAATGTGATAGACGATACAATATTTCATAATAATAAAATATAATTCTTAATAATTTACACACACACACACACAAAAGAGCAGTTCTGAAATGGATGAAAAATAAGTGAAGATAAAAATTAAGTTCATTATCATCTCATTATTAAAAGATTTAATTAACGGATGAGATAAGAAATAAACAAAACGGTCCTAATTTATGCAAATCAAAGCAGAGAAAGAACATTGAAAAGTGTTAAAAAAATATTTTTTTTTGTGATTTTTGCGATAAATTTAAATACACAAAAGAGAATTAGTACACATATAATAATCAAAAAAACATAGTATCGAGTCATAAATAATATTAATAATATAAATCATGGCTGCAATGGTCAACATGAGTAATTTATTGAATGGAAAAGACTCTCGATGGCTTCAACTTGAAGTGTGTCGAGAATTTCAACGAAACAAATGTTCGCGTCCAGATACTGAATGTAAATTTGCACATCCACCCGCAAATGTAGAAGTGCAGAATGGTCGTGTAACGGCATGTTACGACAGCATTAAAGTAAGTTTTTATTTTCTTTTATTCTTTTTTAATTTGTTTTTCCCGCCTTTTCCTTTTTCATTTTCCATCCGACGATGATGCATCCTTAACCTATTTCACGTTTATTGTATTTGCTGTTTCGTAACAGCTTACGGGAAGTGACTGAAAGCTGTGTGTAAAACTGAATTAAGTAAAAATGTCTCTCAATTTGCGGTGCATTTTGCATTAAAATTGTAGTCTGGTTCTGGTTCAGGCTTCACTAGACCTAGAATTTCATACGTCACATAGTTTAACACAGTTCTCCTATATCTGATTCAAGAAAATCTATTTGCTTTATCAACTTCAATATTATTGAAGAAGTAAACATCCAAAAATCTTTATCGCACGGTAAAGCTCGAAATATCTTCCAAACGAGATTATTATTAAGCTAGGATTAAGATAACTCTTATCAAAATCAAGTTCAATTTTCTGAATGTTCTGCCTGTCTTGATTTCCTAACAATATACTGAATTTTGATAAATGAAATTTCTTTAAGACCTGATATATTGAAGTATGAGAAACGAAAGTTGATATATACATCGATAAAGCATAATAGACAACCATTCAAATTTATTTTCGATCCAGACACAAGGTAAACTACTTTAATCTTGTGCAATGAATTAGGAATAATGAAATAGCATTCATGAAAAATAGAATAGAAATAACATGTATGAGAATTTCATACCTTGACTGACTAGTTTTTTTTTCTTCTCTAGAAAACCCCTGAGATTTCCTGTTTTATTCTCACACAGCATTTAATTTTGTTGAAGCCTTAGAATCATTAAATGGGATTTTCCTTGTTGAGGAATCACATTTTATTAATTGGTTTTATTTTAAAGTAAATTTTCTGGTCTATAACTAAGTTTAATTTACAGATAAATTCAATGTTATTGTTTTAAGAAAGGCCTTTAACCTATAAATAAAGCTGTTGCTTCCAAATATTTCTAAAATCAAATATGATCTTGTAAAAATCCGTTAGAATTGTTCTCAGACTTTTAAAACCAGTTCTAATAATTAGGGAATGTTGCATTAACATTCAAAATTCTTTAAAGTCTACTCGAAATTACTCAAAGTCCCCTCGTTAAGTCTACAATCTTAAATCCTGTTTCTCAAATAGTTATTTAAATTCCAATTCTCAATATCAACAGTATTCTATCTTAATAAAGACAGAGATACTCGAATTGACTACAGATCTATCAAAAGTAAAGCCATCCCAAGAGATATCAATAAGTCCATTCAAAATCTCTGCCATCTAGACAAAAAAAGCCACATAAACATAATTCTTAAATAAAATGCACTAAAACTTTCTTCATTCTTTTATTTTTTCGAACGGGATATTACAAAAGTTTTTGGCAAGGACTTTCTTATGTGCACCGAATGGAACAGAAGAAAAAAAAAACTTGATTTATGGCGCAAAAAAGTTTTTCATTTATTCTCCCGTCCTTCACGAAATTTATAGAGGCTTTCATAATCCCACATCAAGACAATATAATAAAATTGAAGGTACTGACTTGATAGACAGAATAGACAGTTAACCTTACCGCACCTTAATGATCCTTCACGTGCTTCAAAGTGTGCCATTTTAAAAGGACACACAGAATAGGATGAAAAAAAGTTTCACCCCATTCGCTCATTTATTTCTCAAACGGGACCTTTCTTCATCTACAATTAAAGAGATGTGAAGAGGGTCCCATGTCAGAATGCGTATAAGTGTGTTGTTGTCTTCAGACCGACCCTCTCTGCTCTCTATTCGTATATACTGTTTTAACAGGTTAAAGGTTCAAACGAATGAAGCAAAAAGGAGGGATGAGGGATGTGTTAAAGAACAAATATACACACGCATATCCTTATTCTGTGTAGAGTCAATGTTGACGGGATATTGGATATTTCTTTATTTACAAATCGACAAAAAGGAGAAGAAATTGAGCGAAGAAGAGAGTAAGAAGACATAAAAAGAAAGAAAATAACTTATACATGCATAAGTCTGTGAAGAAGGCAGACATAAAATTAAGAAAAAAAAATTATTTTTTTAAAATTTTCAACACGTGTCAAGAACGTTATTAGAAAATTTTCTGATTTGGGACATGACTTTTCTTATTCTTCATCTTCCTCCATTTCTGGGGTTATCCGTAAGTTTCGTAAAGCTTGGGTGATGAGGAGGGATCTAAGTTTTGTCATGCTTTATATTATTTCTAAAACAAAGGGAGACCAAAATTGAAATTTGTTGGGTTACCAAACGTGACGACGACCCTTTCTGTTCACAATATATATTTTTTAATAGATTGAAAAGATAGTGAGCGACATTTCTCGTTCATAAAGAAAATAGAATGAAAGATGAAAAGCGATAGTTTCACAATTTTATCTAAGACTCTTGAATCTAAATTTATTTGCGCATCGTGACTAAAGATATCATCCTTCTCCAGTTTCCTTCTTCAAGACTGTGCCTTTTTTTTATTATTTATATGTAGACAACACTTAACAGCACCATAAGAATAAAGAGAAATAGCAATTTTAAGAGGAATCTAACATTAAAGCAAAACACAGAAAGAAAGAATTTTGCGCTCTCGCAAACCAGTTTTTATCATCAGCCAAAAAGAATATAAAGAACTTTTGCTATTTTACCGTTAAAGTCTGCATCATTTACTTCTCATTTCATCATCATAATCTAAATTTTTTTTTCGTGTGTGCGCTTCTGTGTATTTGTGTGTCTATAAGAATAAATTACTAGGTTTTCCATGATTACGTTAGACTCACATAAATTTTCTTCTTCCTCTCACTCTACTCTTATGAATCACACACAGAACGAGATGATGATAGCAAAACAAACAGAAAAAAAAAATCCGTTGAAAATTATTAGGAAACTATCTCTCTCTTTCAAAACGATATTTCTTACTTTATAGATTGCTTACAAATTCCCCCAGTTTCAATTTTTGTTAAATAAATGCCCGAGAAATCCATTTCGTGCTCATGCTCTGCTGTGTATGCTACTTGTTATTACGAAAACGAGTCGAACGAAAATTTAAAGAAAAATCGGTTATTTCTATACACAATCTCAATTTCTATCGCTTTTAACTTACTTTTAAAGAAATATATGAAATATCTCTGGGTATGGATGGATGCTGGCTGTGTTTTCATAATAAGAAATTCCCACTTTTTGAAGGGTGAGAAACCTGAAGAGAAGTAATGTAATAAGGAATAAGAAGGATATTAGAAATTCTAATATTGCCATTAACATACATTTCTCAAGCTTTACGAAATGAGAATGAAAATTAATTTCTCCTTTTTTTATCATTTCGGAATTTCTCAAACGGAATGTTGTAACATTTTGCTCGAATTTAGGTTACCTTCTCACTGTGATGCACTGTATGTTTGTCTAGAAGGATAGAAAATGAGCAATTTCTGTTCACATTTAATTAAATTCTAATGGGACAAAACGTTGTTGACGAAGAAATTCTTTGGCAAATTCCAACTGCTTGTAAAATGAGGTTTGTTATGAAATTTCATACCAGACTGCGCTTTGAAGTGAGTAATTTACAAGTTAGGTTAATTCTTATTCAGTAAAGATTTTGAATTATTAAATCATATGTAGGCGAATCTATCAGTTCAAGAGCAAGGCCTCAGTTATTTCTGATATTTCTTGTGAGGACGTTGGTTCGATTCTCATCATTAGTAGATATCTCAATCTATAACATGACAAGGATTCGCACAATTCTCATGACATTACAGATCTAGTCATCAACATTTTGTGAACGTAACCAAAGAATCATTTAGAGATTTTCATTGTGTAGATTATTCAAGCAATTGACTCCGTTGATGAACTTTAAAATTTAAATGTAATTTCTCTAAATTTCATTTACCAACGCGCGAAACTCATAAATAAAAGAAACTGTTGATAAACTTTCATTTGGAAGTACGATCATAAATCATCAAGAAAATTATAAAGAATTTCAAATTGGGTTGAAATTTAGACAATAAATCATGCAACGTGAAAGTTATTGTTTAATTTTTTGAGGCTTCAATCTTATTACTCACTCAATAAACCAGTATTCTGTGGACGAAATGGGTTGGACAGGAAACTTTCTAATCCAAATGAGAGCCTTATAGTTGTCAGCCCTTGTTATAATGAAAAAATAAAAACACGAGTGTTCTTCTTGTTCTATATATTCATTAATGCAAGTTGTGTTCCTTTCTTTCTCACTTTCTGAGAAAATCCAGTTTCTATTTTTACATGCCCGAGAACTGCCTTCATACAAAAAATAAGACAGAAAGATCTCTCTCGTTCACAATACATATCAAAATTTATTCTTTTTAGCTTTGGCTATGCTGTATTTGCAATTTGAAAAGGCTTTTTATGAGTTATTCATTTCTTCTTTGCCTTGGGGGTCATTCACTTATGATGTCGATTTAAAATGGGATTTTCAGACCCACGTTATTGTTACTAAACTTTACTTTTGTATTGTGCCATTACAAAATCTGAGACTCCCTAAATAATAGACGTCATAAGTAAATGACTCTTTAAGTTATTTTTTAAAGTATACAACAAATAAAAATAAAAACATAAATCGGGAGAATTGAGCTATAAAAAAAGTATAAATATCAAAAAAAAAAAAATAAAACCAGCAAACTAAAAACGGAAGAAAAAAGCAGAAATGAATCACAACAACAGTATAAATGTTAATCGATTTAAAGAGTAATGCCGTGAGCAAATAAAAAACAAAAAGCTGAAATTAAAAGCAAAAATATAAAGAGATTAATAAGAAGAAGATTGTTACGTACATAAAAGAGAAGAGAAACATAATCAGTGTCAGGTCAGAGATTCACCAGGTGTTCCGTAAAGAAAGAATCATGAAATATAAAGCATGAGAGAGATATATTGACCCCTGTATGAACCACATGTTTTGCATCTTAACAGATTTCATACTAACTTACTTACTTGCTTTTCATGTTATGAGATGCAAATGAGTGTAAACTGCATTCTATTTTACTTTATAACGGCTATTTTTGCTTAATCTTGTTCCATTCATCAGCTTCTTTCATATCATTACTATTATTTTTATATTATTATCATTTGGGGTCGCTCATAAATGACGTCTATCGGAAAATGGGGTTTTTGACCTTTTTTTATTTCTCAGTCACAAGATTTTCATTCGACTGTTGTTCCTCACTCAAAGCTAGACGTCATTTACGAACGAAACTTAATCTACATCATTATTATTATTTTCTATCATTATATCTATTCAAAATAGGGTCGATGCAATAGAGAGAAACCACCTTGCAAGTACTTTCACCCGCCGCAACATTTAAAAGATCAATTACTAATCAATGGACGCAATCATTTAGCATTGAAAAATGCTCTAATGCAACAAATGGGAATGGCGGGCTCTCCAACGCCAACACCAACAATACTTCAAAGTCCGCTTCAGCCCATGGTGAGTGTTTATGTGTGCATTCAATCTTGTGTGTGCTTTATGTGATTTTTTTTTCTTTTTTTAAATATTTATTTATTCCATCTCATTTCACTTTTGACTGGCTAAAAATAATCTGAACACATGAGAATATTCATTGCTTCTATATTTCGGTTATTGCCATTTCTTTTTTGTCTTTAAGCTGTTGCCATTTTTAAGAAGATACCCACATGATCTTCTCCTTCATTTTTATTCATTTCCTAAAAGCGTCATTTACACTTTTGCTCTTTTCTGCGCATTATTGTCGATGTAAATGTGATTATATATTCATTTTTCATGGCCAGTTTAATGTTTGGATAAGTGTTCGGTCATGGGTCGAGTAATGAAAGGTTCAGAATTTTTAAAATTTATTACATTTGACTTGTGACTTTTTGGAAATTTTCAAAATAAATGGCAAATAATCGTGATTCCAACAAGTTCTGTGCAATTTTGATTTTTTTATTATTTTTGGCATTTAACAGAAATGCGCTTAAGTCATCAACAGCACTTTAATCACACATCATTAATTCCTTTTTCTTGGTTTTCTTCATGAACACGATCTGCAGTTCATTCTCATGTCTCTAGGTTGTTTTTGTTAAGTGATTTTAATATGTGAATTAATGCTGACAGTGGCAGCAAAATAACAGATATAGAAATAAACATTGAGAGAGATTGAAATAAAAGTGAAAATGTAGTATGGACATGGTTAAGCAGAACACAGAAAAAAAAAATCTTACAATTTATTTTCTCTTTTTTTTTCTATTTTCATCTGCAATACATTCATGCATATGTACAGACTGCCAATCGATTTTTGCCTACTAGTAACCCCTACAATCCTTATTTTACGACTGGAACATTGCTGCCCACAACGCTTCTCGGGCCAGAACATGCCGCAACTGCATTAGCTAGTTCATCCCCCATGCAACCACAAGCAGTGCCATTAGGTAGTGCCACAAATAATGCAGCACAGCCACAGAAACGAACTGATCGAGTTCAGGTAATCTTTTTAACATAAATTTCCTGTCCTTCCTTTTCCATTTTCTCTCTCATTTTCATTTTACGTTCACATATTATGAGGATGTTAATGGGATTTGAAATGTCAAAAAATACTTAGATCTATAGTCGAACTCATTTTTGCATTAGTTTCACCATTCGCTATCCTTATAATTACAATAAATTTTAAAAGCATTAGACACATTAGGAGCACATTCATACATTTTAATTTACCTTTTTTCCCCCTTTTATACATCTTTATTAGAAACATTACTTTTATTTTCATTTACTTGACCAATATATTTTTATATGAGGACATTGTCTTGCATAATCTTTATTTTATTCTCAGTAAAAATTGTCCGAAAACTAAATTAAACATAGACTTACAAATTAATGTAAAAAAATACATAAAAGTTGATGAGAACTATCGTGATATAAAAATGTTTTCTTTATTCTTAAATACTTAATATATTCTCTAGAACACTCCTACAACATCATTGTCGCAGACACCAACGTCTAATAGCAATTCAATAACGAACTCATCTGTTCCGTTAATTTCCTCGGCATCGATTTTGGCTAATTTAGTGGAAAGTGGAAAAAAGCGAAGCGCGGAATGTTTACAAGTATACTCGAATCTTTTCCGATTTTTTAAGACTTTAATATTTTGTTGAGATCCTTTAGAATTTTTTTATTCACATACTCGTGTTTAGAATAATTTTTTAAAACTTACTTTTTATCCACCAATTCTATTGAGAGAAGATGATAGAATCAACTAACCCCCGTGTCATCTAATTAATTCATTTATCTTTTTTTATTACTATTATTAGATGTTGTTGAAATAATTTTTCCTTTTTGTTATGGATGTATACTTTCTGTTTGTGGTGTGCCAATGAACTTTTATCTCTAATTAATGTTATGCTAGCTTTATGAACTTTATTAGATAGCAATGATTAATTTTCAAAAAAAAATGGTTTTTAAGTGCTAACCTCAATGTAGATTACCTTTAAAAATTGGAAATTCAGTTTCTAAGTCTATCCTTACTTCAAGGATAATATCTGTCTGACTAGGGGAGTTTTACCCAAAATTTAAGTGGTAATTGTATTTATTATAAGCTTTGTTTTTAAAGCTCACTATTTGTAGCCGATTTGACTTAAAATTTGCTATTTAGTCACAACTACTTAGTGGTCAAATTAAGTCTGTTTCTTAAGACATTTAGGTTATTTTATAAATTTTGTACCTAGGGGGTTGACGGGATTTATTTCGTAACTTAATAAGTAAATGAGACCTTATCGTAATTTTCCGTTTTGTTTAAATTTAAAAGTTTTATAGCTATTATTCAAATGAACGGCAGTTAATAAGTTTTTTCCATTTATGATAACAAGACTGTAATAAGATTTACGAATTTTAAGTTTATTTAAAACTAGTCAAAATAAATTAAGATGATACTTTGTTATTCAAAAGTTTTGAAGCTTCATTAAGCAACTGCATGCAAATCATCTCAAAATGAAACAAAATTCCGCCGCAAAAAATATCTCATTTGGATTGATTCATCGCTCCTATCTTTCTATTGGCAGACCACAAACTTTAAATATTATAATATTAATATTGCATGATTCAATATACGCGTTTTAATATAATTTTTCATGACATGGCAGGAAAGAGTTTGTCAGAGAGAATGAAAAAATATAATTTTTTGGTAGAATTACTCAAAACCACAGAGACTCTTTTAGGGCAGAGTATTACTCACATTTTAATCTTCCTATGAAATCTACAAAATTTTATTCGCAAAACACTTATCATAAAGCCGCATCCTTTTTACTATATGCTGAATATACCATACGACTATTTAATACTAGATAGAATAACAAGGAAAAATATGGTGATTGTGGCAGCATAAAAAGTGATGAGAAAACGAAAATGAAAATGTTTTTTCAATGCCAGATATCTCTATAAACATTTTTTTATCCATAACATGTTGAAATTGTGCTTGACGTACACAAACATTTTATTTTTTCTTTCTTTTATTTCAAACAATGATAATCTCTTCGTTCAGTTTTGGTATTGACGAAAATATGGAAAATATTCTCTTATCTTCATTCATTTGCTTGTTTGCTCAGCTATTACATAAATTAAATTGCATTTACGAATTACAAGAGGAACGATAATAATAATATGTATTTTGCTTCCATTTCATCAAATTTCATATAATTATAGGAATGAAATTTCCGAATGTAATCTCCAATTAAATTAGTATTAGCAAATAATATCGAAACATATTTTGATTGATCCGTGAACTTGTATTTATACATTCAGTTCCTCGAAAAGTTTTCCTATATCTTTTTAGACTTGAATCACCCAACAAATTTTGAAATGTTTTCCATCCCATTTCGAAGAAGGATTTTTCTTCTTTTTGCTTCTGTGCCGATCTGCATAAGGTCACCATATACAAAGCTTCAAATGGCTGTCAGATAGCAATTTATTAAGAAATCATTTATTTATGCGAATAACCTTAAATATTTCAACTCGGTGTGCTACTCGGGTCTGTGCTGAATTAAATACATAAATTCTAAAAGCCTCTTACATTTAAATGAATTTCATTGAATATTTTTAATTAAATGATCTCACCTTTGGCATTAATTGCTGTCTCTATGGAGACTGTCCTAATTAAATTGAATTAACTTCAAAACTTTGAAATTCTTTTTAGGTTTTCATGAATTACATTTGAATGATGAAATTTCTTGATTACATTCCATTCCTTTGCAGAAGTTTACATTCAGATAACGAAATTTATTTTTGGCACCAAATTTCTATATTTGATTAGCTTGAGTGGGTCGGCTTTGTGAAGGTTATTCTTGAACAATACTGAAGGTTATGACAAAGAGAATGTTTGCTATAAATTTTCATATTAAGTCCATAATGTTTACGATAAAGAAAAAAAAGAGGTATCAGGCAGAAGTGAGAAGAAGTAAGAAATATGTAAGGAAACATTGGCGCCAAAAATCTGACACAAAGGAAAACTTTTTATTCAAAATATTCCTTTTCGCTTGAGAGATTTTGTTACTGTAGATCCTTCAAGTACTTTTAAGGGACTCAAAACGGTTTTAATGAAATTCGAGAAATTTTACTTCCCCCTCAATAAGGAACAAAATATCCATAATTGCCATTAATTTAAGATTTTTAAGACGGAAAAATTCTCACATTTCCATAAATTATTAAACAGCTGACGAAAAAAAAAGAAGAAAAATCCAAAATTACGTAAGGTGATTTATAACATTAATAGGTCGAGTGTAAATGTCAATAGAATGATGTACAAGAGAAAAAACATAAAAAGCAAACAGAAAGCATAGATAAAAATTTGTAGAATTAATTCCCGAATCAATATGCTGTTTTTTTACATGAATGATAAGACAAACAAGTCAGGAAGTGAAGCATATAAAAGCAAATTGTACATAAAATAACATTATTGCAAAAAAAAATTCTCTGTTGATTTTTTTTTATGTTTTATTCTCATAATTTTTATTTATTTTCTCTTCTCCTGTCCAGATGAATCAAATGAAATTAACGACTCCATATTGTTATGAACGTTTTGTGAGTATTTTATCCTATATCATGTGATATATAGCGAAACAGACATGAAATTTATGAGACCTTAAACAAAAAAAAGTTAGACATTCTGCTCATGTCGGACCATTTCCATGAGAACAAAGAGGATATAAATTTTATGTTTTTAGTACTTGCAAAAATTTGTGATGTTATTGTTTAAAAACTTAATTTAAACCTTAAATATATTATAATCATTACTTTATGTTGATGTTAATAGATATTTATGTTGAGGGTAGATTTTTATTATTATAATTTAAAACACTCTCCCACTCGTTGTGCCGTGTGAATCTCATAATCTGAACGTTAAGCAGCATTAGCATGTTATAAAAATAATAAGTAAATATTTATTCATTATCTTACAGATATTTCCTGGATTATTGCCTTATAAGAGACCAGCACCGGATAAGCCTACTGCTGCAGGCATTCAAACAATTTACCAGCCATCAGCTGCGGCATATCAACAGCTCATGCAACTGCAATCAGCACAACAATCTTACGTGCCCGTCTCATGTGAGTATAAAAAAATCAATAAGACTCATGCTTCAGCCAACAACTACAAAAACTACACTATCTATCCTCAAAATACATCCACAGCTACTCCTAATGCTAACAATTTACATCATCATCCTAATTTAAACAGTCAAACTAGCATTAATGCCTGTAATTTTAATTATCAATTGAATACTAAAAATCCTAATACAACCTGTAACAATAATAATAATTTTATAAGTAACAATAATTTTGCAAGTAATAATAATAATAATGATAATCCAATTACTTCCACTTTTTTCGCTGATGCTGATGCACAAAAAATTACACCTACAGCACAACAAAATTCGATAAATCAAAGCTCGCCCAGTAGTAAGGCTATCATCCCATCCAATATAATTGATAATAATACGCTGTCAAAAAATGTTGCTGTTGCCACTTCGATTATTGCTGCGCCTGTTGATGATGACGGTGGTGACACTGAGAATGCTCTTACTGTGCAAAATGCAAAAACTCAAATCAATGCGAATGGAATTGATGCTAAAAGTGTGGCTACAAATATTAATGCTTCTAGTAATATTATTTCGGACTTAGTTGTTGAAGAGAATAATAATAAATCGATTAATGAGATGTCTAATAGTAGCTCATCGGATTTATCAAAACAAATTATTAATAATAATCAAAACAGCATAATTTCAGTTGCTAAAAGTAACAATAACAATAGTAGCATAAGTCATATTGTTGATGATGCCACAAAAACATCAATTCAGTCGGCTATTGATGAGAGTAATTTGAATGCAATTAGCTTTAATTCTGGAAATAGTAGCTCACCTGCTGCCGCTACATTACCGGCAATTTATACCACCAACAATTCCATTACAACATCAGTTAATAATATTAGTAATAATAATAATAATAATATTTTATCGCGTAAAAATAGTCTCACGACGCCAAATCAGCATTTAATCAACAATAGTAGTTCAAAGAATCCTTTAAATACTAACAGTGGTAAAGTTGACAATGTGCCTGATTTAATTAATGCTTCTTCGCTTAATAATCCTCAAGCTGCTTTATTATCGGCTGTCTTTTATAATCAGCCATATCAGCAACTTGCCATGACACCCAATTTATATTCAGATCCAGCACAATTAGCCAAAGAAATGGCTCAAAAGAATTATGTTAATGCATTAAAATTAGCTGCTGCTGCTCAAACGCCAACGTCAATGGCACAGTCGGCTAATATGGCTGGAAAGACATATTCCACAAATCCATTAACTGCATATTCCTATCCGGGAATGGCTATGTCTGCTAATAATAATTCTGCTGCAGCTGCGGCTGCGATGTTTAATCAAGCAAATCAAATGCCTGGTTCATCAGCATCATCCCAACGCTTTAATGCACAAATTTCATCACAAAATCGTGCTCAATACATGCCTGCTGCCCTTTCACGTCAAATGCAGAATCCTTACCAGCATACATTCATTAGACCCCAACTTCAAACTGCAAATCTTACAAATGCTGCTGCAGCAGCGCAAAATCCCTATTTTGCAGCACATCAACAATTCTTAAATCAACAAAATTTATTCTATTCGGGATTAACGAGTCCCCTTGCTAGTCCACAAATGACAGCAACTACGGTTGCATCACAAATGACTTCACCATTTGCGGCAGCATCCTATCCATATAGTGCTCTCAGTCAAGCTCAAGCATATAGTAATGCACAGAGCTTGCCAACATCAATGATGCAAGTGCCCCAAATAACGTCTCAATCGTCACAGACTGGAAGTTCTAGTGCAGTACTAAATCCATATAAGAAAATGAAAACCTCTTAGGATATTCTCCCCAGTGATAAATTAACACGCTTCTTAATGTAGATAAGATGAAAATTATTTAGAGATTGATTTTGATAGTTGCACACACACATACACATATACAAAAATAAAAAAAATAACTTAATAAGAGATACACGCATACACATATTATAAATGATGAAATAATAATTATAACTTACTACTTAATAATTGCTTAAATATGATACATAAAAATATTATTCTGATGAAAGTTGTTCGCATAATTTATTAGTCATGTAATTAATTAATTATTAAATTAATTAATGATCTTTTTTTTATTTTATCTATAATAATGTAAACACAATTAAATTAATTCTCTGTTAATTTATTCTTTTATTATTATTTACTCTTTACTGTAAGTTATTTTCTGTTAAGGGCAATTCTTTGGATGACTTTTGGAAAATTTTAAGCAAAAAATCGAAATTTTATTGATTTTTCCCATCAGAGTCACTGATTTTATGATTCTTATCGATGTAAAAATCTAAAATGTACACTACTTTTGATATCATTTACTTCTAATCGCTGTATTAATTAAGTTATTTTGATTCTTTAGTCAATAACTCGATGACAGAAATCGGAATTTTCAATTTTCATCATCCGAAGAATCGAAAATTAGAGAAAACTATTGATATTCACATTGAATAACTTTTACTGAGTTATAGAACAGACAAAAATCTTTAATTAGGTTGCTTTTCTGTGTGCTTTAAGTCATTAATTAATGTAATATTTCGATTCTTTGAAAAATTTCCTTGTGTCATCGAGTTATAAAAAAGCTTTTTTTTGTCTTAATCCGTGAAAAAATACAAAATTTTCAAACATATTTTTTCATTTTTCACTTAATTTGGGTGAGTTGTAACATTTTAATAGATCATTTATAAAGAATTAATTATGTTTTATGATCTACGAAAGTTCTAGCTTATTAATCTTTCTTAGTAATATGAAATTAACGAAAACATTTTTTCGAACCAAAACTCATTGACATTGGATTATGAAAGCTCATTTTTTTCAAATTCCACTCATCCAAAGAATTGTCCTTAATCAAAACTGTTGCCATATATATTTTTTAAAAACATGATAAATCTATAATACATATATTTTTTAGACATATTTACTTCTGAATGTTGGCCCTGCTGTTGCTTTTTTTTTTCTTTCTTTCCTTTCTTCTATTGCAATCCGCTTATACTTATTATGAAAAAAATTAAATTAAATTAAATTGAATTAAATTGAGAAAGAGAGAGAGCGAGATATATTATTGTTCGCAACAAAACTGTACAAAGTGCCTTTAAATAATATTATAATGATAATAATAATAATTATAGACATTACAAAATTTATCGATGTGTATATAACATGAAGATTATTGAGAGACAAACTATAAAGTTCGTCGACCTCTGTCATTCTCTTATTTTAAATGTTCCTTTTTTAAAGTTCATTTTATGCATAAACATGAAAATAATGTAAGAATAAAAAATTGTGTTGCTTACTACTTTACATGCAAAAAAAAAACAATAAATTTGGTACGAAAAAAAAATAAAACAATAAACATGAATATTTGCGGGGGTTGAAGTTTGTTGGAAATGAGTTCACGAAAGTTAGAGCATGAGTGCTGTGGATTTTCATAATTTCTAAGTACAGGACTATGACTCATTATAATGAGAACAAATTAAAGTCTGCATTCTTAATCCAGCTCCATCCACAAACTCGTTCTTCCACGTCGTGCAGTTAAAAGTGAAAGAAATTTCTGAAGGTCTAAAGACTGTAGAATTAGAAACAAAAGCAAATAAAATGCAAAGTTACCAAAAACCGGTTTTCGATTTGCACTTCAGCACATAAATTGTTAAAAGCATTTGGCTGTTAAATGTTACCAAAAAAAAAAAATAAGAATTGACATGAATATTAGTGATATATTTCTAGTACAAACTTGATGCTAGTGACCATTTTTTGAACAGCTTCAACTCCTCGCTAATTTGACATATTTTATTTTCCTTTCTTATGCAAAACTTAAAAGTTAAAATAGTAGTTATAATATCAAATAGGATTAAGCTTGACTCATTCATTCGTCGCCTTCATTTTTTTGTGTATATCTTGGCATTTATAAAGATTTTTATGTCTTTATTGCTTCATTTGATAAAGCTTGCTTCGCACCCCACCCACCATAATATAATTTAATCTTCTTGCCATTTTATTGATTTACCTCTTTACTCGTGTATTATTCTCTCCATCCTACATGCAATTTTACTTAATGCTCATATAGGACATACAATATGTCATAATGTTGATTGTAGATACGATTTAATTACTCTTTATGTTTATTTATTATTTTAATGTCTTTAACTAATTTAGGCCAATTTACTGCCTCGCTAATGTTTATTCAATCAATGCCTCAATATATAGACTATATAAAATATGAAATCCTTAAATTGAGTAGTAAAAAGCTTTATTCTTATTATTTAGCTTCTGGCAAATTTTATATCTCATGCTTTCAAAGTATAATGTACTATACCCAATATAGTATCCATTACGAAAGCTTTATCGAATTGAAATTGAGAAATTGAGTAAATAAGTAAGCATAATGCACTGTGATAATTCTACGAATAAGCTATAAGAAGCTTTATTATTTTTATTTTTATTTTTTTTTTTTTTAAAAAGAAGATGTGATTTTCACTTTATTATTGCATTACTCACCCATTCTCATCCCTACCCTTCATATACGTACTCTTTATTCTTATGATTTCCTTATGAAAAAAAAAAGAAGGAATTGAAATAAATATGAAGCTTTTTGCATGCAATTGAATTACTTGATTTCTATCTTCATAAAATACACTTATTTATGTACGATTTCAATCCATGAATACAGTCTTGTGGAAGGAATAAAAAAAGAAATGAATTGTGTTTATTAAACGTCTATTTGTACAAGTGCATTTGAAAAATGAACATAATGTATTGCAATGCTTTGATAAATTGGAATAAAAAGGGAATATTTTATTGACATGCACAAATATATATACACACACTTGAACGTATAATGTCGAAAATATTAAACAGCATATATGCATGAAGCTTCAAAATGTTCATTTCACAATTTACGTATATCAGATGATTTGTTTTTTTTTGTGCTCTCTTCCTCCTTCTCGTTTGTTCGTCTTCCAAATAAATAAAGTGTGAATAAATAATAAATTCATGTATGAAGCATTGGAAGCTTATCCTTTTGTGCGCGTTTTGAGAAATTGGAATTAATTTAATCCTTGATGCTTTCATGTCGAGAATTGTGTTTTTTGTAGTGGATTTTCGAATCTATAATCTAAAAGCTGGTTTTTTGAGGCTATCCACCTCCTTGATAGAAAATGCTTTAACATCAGCATAGGTTTCTAACAGATTATCTTGATTAGATTCAACCTTGAGACAGAATTTGTTTTTAAAAATTTTAAGACAATGAAACATAAGAAGCTATTCAGCAAGGGTACCCAATCATAATCTGTGCTAGTTTTAGTATCAAAGTGTCTAAATCTTCATTCAAATAATTTCTAGATACACCGTATTATAGACTGGATGTATTTTCTTTAAATCAAATTTATTTTAATAGCTTTCAAGAAGGACTTTTTGATGAGATAAGTTAACAAACAAAACAATTCAATTTCTGAAGATTTAAAAAAAAAATAATGGGAATTTCAAGTCTCGCACAGCAAAAATTATCCCACTTAGTCAGCAAAAGTGAACAAACCAACTCGTGTTTTTCTTGTTAAAGTACGCAAAAAAAGAATGAAAATGAAACTGAAAGGCGCAAAGTGAAAAATGTGTGTCGTCGTATTCAGACATGATGTAGCAGAATAAAAAATTGGCACGATGAGTAGAGATTTATGAAAATTTGTAGATGCAAAAAGAAGATTTAGAGATGAAATATAAATAAAATAAATATTACAACAGCAGCAGCCCAATTTGAGCTGATGTAATTTTCAAGGATGGGATTTTCTTGACAAATCCCTTTTCTATTATCCTTCTATATTTTATTATCTATTCATTTGACATTCTCATTATTTAGCCTTTGTTATAAGCATATCACATATTTCAAAATTGTCAACCTCCCACCTTCAAATACACTCTTCAATCTATATCCATAGATCTTATGATAGTAATTAATTTTGATTGTTATTGAGTTTTGGATATAATTTTGTCTAATTTTCATTCTGCTCTGTCCTCAATTTTTCTTATGCTATCTTTAATATTCTTAGCAACCAATCTCACATCCTTCCGTTTTTGGCAAAATTCAGCTATTTCCTGTGCGTATACAAAAACACGGAAATATTTATACACATACAAAGACAATCGCCTCCTCGTCTCAAAAGCTAGATTTTTTTTTTTGCTAATAAGCAATTTCTATTTCTTGGCATAAGCTCCTCAAAATCTTTATGTGCATGGGCTGACTATCGAATTTACATATTAAATTGAGCAATCATGTCATGCGGGATAAGTTTAATTAACTCTTAGAGTTCTGATGAGATTTTTCTTAAGATTGCAAGATTTTCCCACCAAAAAAACTTGTTTGGACAGCCCAAACACAAGTAAATGTACAAAAAAATGGGACAACAACATCATCTCATATTCTTCTTCTTCGTTTTGAGTTGGGTATTGGACATAAAAGTCTCTCTTTTTTGAAATTCATTAAAATTTTAAAAAGTTTAATCTCATTTAAGAGTTTCAGCATCGGCTGTAAATTAATGGAAGTACAAAATCAAATTTCCATCACATTTTCGTAATAAATGTTTAGACTTAGATAAAATAAAGATTTAATGGAGAATAAAAAATTAAGACTTGTTAAATTGCTTAAATTTCTCTTGATAAATTCCTTATGATAAAGACTTTCTTAAGTGCGAGCATTAACCGTAGATGAAAAGTTTCTCAAGATTTTCCAACTGATTTGAAATCCTTCGTCTTCACCAAAGGAAAATATTTAAGTAAGAAAAAACTTTCTGGTTTTTACATCTTTTCTTCAAGAAAATAAAATCTTTTTGAAAAGTTGAGACATTTTATTTAAATATTTAATATTAATAACTTTTCATTTCATGATTTCTTGAGGAACTTTCAAAGTTAAAGTTCAGAAGTTGAAAGTTTGTGT